GACTGGGCACAGGAGGACAAAGTGGCCTGGAAGGAAGGGTGTTGGCGCCGTCAAGTCCACATCCCGCCATGTATACGCAGGATTGTACCTGGGATTCGGTATCGCCGCGACCAATCCAGTTGTTTGTAGAATGCTCGAGCTCTCTCCCCTTCTCTCTGCCTCTCTTCCCTACCCCCCCCCCCCCCCCCCCCCCCCCCCCCCCTCCTCCCCTTTTTCAACGTTCTCCCTACAACACTCCCTGCTCCCCCCATCTTAAGGAACACCAGGAACCTGCCAGACAGCAGTTGCAGGCACCAGCTCTGATGGGCCAACAACCCCCAGCCCTGGTTGAAGCCCTATCATATGGGCACTTCGGACCCAGGCATGATCACTATTTTTGTACCAACCCACTGAGCTAACCCATGATGTCTCCAAGAATTCGTGTACCTAGGGCATCACTACTCTAGCTACCACAGGCAGTGTCTAATAGCCCTCACCAGCCAAGGTCGAACCTATGACAGCCAGGGCCTAAGAAAGTACAGCCAACCAGCACAACCATTGTAATTTCTCATGTAGATATGTAGTCTGTTTGTGAATCTCTATGGGAGTCTATATGTAGTCTGTACTCTTCTCTGTATGTTGTATGTGAACTAGTACCATGCATATAGTCTATATGTGAGTCTAAATGATCTACATGGGAATCTATACGGTCTGTATGCTCTCTCGTTTGTTGAGTCTTCCAGACAACCTATCCGCCAACGCCTCTAGCGTAGAAACCTCTGGACACTACCCTGCCTCCACTGGACGTCACCACCTGACCCAGCCCCAGAGCAGAGCAAACCTAATAATCTACCCCTACCCCCCACGAACAGAAAATGAGGGGTGACATTTCCCTCCACTGTGACATCGCCGCAGGGCAGTGCTCCCACCACCCATCTGGTCTATATGTACTCTACTACTCTCTCTCACACGGATACTATCTACAAGGCAACCTACCCACCAATCCCTCTAGGGTAGGAACCTCTTGAGTAGGACCAAACCACTAATCTGCCCCTGCTCCCCAGGAACAGGCCATCAACGGGTGACACTTACCTGCAATGTGACATCCCCACAGGACAGACCGCTCAACCGCCCCGCCTCCAGAGTAGACTACCTCTTGACGCTACCCTGCCCTCCCTGGAAGTTATTACCGCCCCCAAGTCACCACCCCCAGCTCTGACTAGGACAAACTCGGTAATCCGCCCCTGGCCCCCCACGAACATGCACCTCCCTCCAACGTGACGCCCCCGCAGGGTAGTGTTTCGACCAAGCCCCAACATACAATCTGCTGACCCTGGTTCGATGGCTGGCGGACAAGTACATGGGGTGTCATCCTAACACCAACTGAGCACGCACAGGAGAGGATGAGGTTTGACTGGAATCAAACCCACAACCTTTCCATTGCTGCACTGGAGCTCTAACCAACTGAGCTACCATGCTTACCTGGATTCTTCATTTCCCATCTTCTAGTATGAGGGATCAATGGCCAGAAACAAACGGTCCAGGCAACTGGGACCTCGCCCAAGAATAGACGACCTCCTTTTTTTTCTTTTTTTTTTTGATAAAAACAGGTCCTGATGGCCGTGACTCCATGTTACATACTCGTGAGAATATCAACGAGTATGGGGCAGAGCCAAAGATCAACCAATAGAGGATGAGCATGTATGCAGCGGAAGTCTGATAACAGACTGACTCACATAGACTGACTCACACAGATATCACTCCACACACATACAATTGTGAGATGGTGGGGTCTGAGCCATACATGGAAGATGCTCAGGCCCCGTACACACATACACAGATGAAAGGTGGGAGGAGAGACGAAGGAGGTGGGGGAGGTAGACAGCACC